CACGGGTCCCATGTGTAGGCTGCGAACCACAAGACTACATGCGTACCACACCACGGGCTTTTTTTTTTTTTTTTGAGACGATGATATATGAATAGCTCTCGGCTCTGTCTCATTCCCAGGGCTGTTAGTGCAGTGGTTCCGCGGATCTCAGGCCTCTCACTGCCATAGCCTCCGCCCTCCTCGGTTTTCGCCAATTCTCCTGCCCAGCCTCCCGAGGTAGGCTGAGACGGACTACAGGCGCCCGCCACCTCGCCTGGCTAGTTTTTGTATTTTTTAGTAGAGACGGGGTTTCACTGTGTTAGCCAGGATGGTCTCGATCTCCTGACCTCGTGATCCGCCTCGGCCTCCCAAAGTGCTGGGATTACAGGCTTGAGCCACCGCGCCCGGCCTACGTTATTTTTTGTAGAGATGGGGTCTTGCCATGTTGCCCAGGCTGGTCTCAAACTCTTGAACTCAGGTAATGCATCCACCCTGACCTCCCAAAGTGCTGGGATTACAGGTGTGAGTCACCATGCCCGGCCCCCCATTTGTAGTTGTGTTTTGTTTTTTGTTTTTGTTTTTTGGGGGGTTTTTTGGACACAGTTTTTGCTCTTACTGTCCAGACTAGAGTGCAATGGCTTGATCTCGGCTCACTGCAACCTCCGCCTCCCAGGTTCAAGTGATTCTCCTATCTCCGCTCCCGAATAGCTGGTATTACAGGCATGCGCCATCTCGCCTGGCTCATTTTGTGTTTTTAGTAGAGATGGAGTTTCTCCATGTTGGTCAAGCAGGTCTCAAACTCCCAACATCAGGTGATCCACCAGCCTTGGCCTCACAAAGTGCTGGGATTACGGCCGTGAGTCACTGCGCCTGGTCTGCAGTTTTGTGTTTTGTTTTGAGACGGAGTTTCACTCTTATTGTCCAGGCTGGAATGCAGTGGCCTGATCTCAGCTCACTGCAAACTCCGCCTCCTGGGTTCACGCCTTTCTCCTGCCTCAGCCTCCTGAGTAACTGGGATTACAGGCGCCCGCCACCACGCCCAGCTAATTTTTTGTATTTTTAGTAGAGATAGGGTTTCATCGTGTTTGCCAGGCTGGTCTCGAACTCCTGACCTTAGGTGATCCACCCACCTTGGCCTCCCAAAGTGCTGGGGATTACAGGCGTGAGCCACCGCACTCGACCCTGTTTGTAGTTTTAATGTGTTAGCCAACTTGTATAAAGGGTCAGCCAGTAAATATTAGGCTTTGCAGGCCACAAATACCCCTCTCATTCACATTCTTCTTCTTCTTTTTTTTTTTTTGGTCTCATTCTGTTGCCTAGGCTGGAGTGCAGTGGTGTAATCTTGGCTCATTGCAATCTCTACCTCCCGGGTTTGTTTTTTTTGTTTTGTTATGTTTTTTAATATTTAAAAAATGTAGGAATCATTTTTGGCTCATGGCCTAACCACAGGTTTTGATAATTTAAATTTGTTTTATTATCTGGGACGTGATTATAAGCTTGCTAAGGCTTTTTTCCTTTTTGAGACAGAGTCTCGCTCTGTCACCCAGACTGGAGTGCAGTGGTGTGATCTTGGCTCACTGCAACCTCCACCTCCTGACTTCAGCTGATTGGCCTGCCTCAGCCTCCCAAATAGCTGGGACTACAGGCGCATGCGACCACACCCGGCTAATTTTCGTATTTTTAGTAGAGACAGGGTTTCACCATATTGGCCAGGCTGGTCTCGAACTCCTGACCTCGTGATCCACCTGCCTCTGCCTCCGAAAGTGCTGGGATTACAGGCATGAGCCACCGTGCTGGCCCTCCCTGTGCCCCCCCCCACCCTTTTTCTTTTTTTTTTTTTTTTTGAGACAGAATTTCACTCTTGTTGCCCAGGCTGGAGTGCAATGGCACGATCTTAGCTCACTGAAACCTCCACTTCCCAGGTTCAAGCGATTCTCCTGACTCAGCCTCTTAAGCTGAGATTACAGGCATGCACCACCACACCCGGCTAATTTTTTTTTTTTTTTTTGAGATGGAGTCTCGCTCTGCCGCCCAGGCTGTAGTGCAGTGGTTTGATTTCGGCTCCCTGCAAGCTCTGCCTCCCGGGTTCACGCCTTTCTCCTGCCTCAGCCTCCCATGTAGCTGCGACTTAAGGCGCTCACCGCCACGCCCGGCTACTTTTTTATGATTTTAGTAGAGACGGGGTTTCTCCATGTTGGTGAGGCTGGTCTTGAATTCTCGACCTCAGTCTGCTAAGGCTTTTATAAGAAAGTATCACACACTGGTTGGCTTAAACAGCAGAAATTTATTTCCTCACATTTCCAGGAAGCTGAAAATCCAAGGCGAAGGTGTCAGCAGGCCTTTCCTTGTTTCCTTGGTTTGCAGATAGCTATTTTCTTTCTTCCCTCTGTGTTAATCTCTTCGTATAGAAGGACAACAGTCATTGGATTAGGGTCTATCCTAAGACCTCATATTTACTTAATTGTAACTTAAAGATGCTATTTCCAAATATCACATTCTTAAGGTGTACTGGGGGTTAGGACTTCAATGTATTAATTTTGAGGAAACTGATAAAATTCTAGATTGCTTAATTTGAGGAAAGGAGATTCATTCTCCTGGTTTTAGTGAACTTAAAAAGTAAAGCTCTGGGCCGGGCGCGGTGGCTCACGCCTGTAATCCTAGCACTTTGGGAGGCCGAGGCGGGCGGATCACGAGGTCAGGAGATCGAGACCATCCTGGCTAACATGTGTGAAACCCCGGTCTCTACTAAAAAATACAAAAAAACTTAAGCCGGGTGAGGTCGGCACGGCGCCTGTAGTCCCAGGCTACTCGGGATGCTAGGCAGGATGAATGGCATGAACCCGGAAGCGGAGCTTCGCAGTGAGCAGAGGATTGCGCCCACTGCCACTCCAGCCTGGGCGACTAGAGCGGAGGGGGACTCTGTCTCAAAAAAAAAAAAAAAAAAAAAATTACATCAAATATCAAACGACCCAGGCACAAACAAACAAAAAAAAGTAAAGGCTCTGACTTGTACGAGGTTTTTTGCTTGTTGGTTTTGTGGGACACAGAGTCTCTGTTAGCCCAGTTGGATGGCAGTGCATGAATCTCAGGCTACACTCGGCAAACCTCCACCTCCCGGATTCAAGTTTTCTTCTGTGGCCTCACGTTCCCAACGCCTCAAGCTATCTGAGGGACTACAGGTCTGCACTTAACCATGCCCAGCTAATCCCCTTCTATCTACCTCCTCTTGCTATTTCACTTATTTTTGTGTATTTGGTTAGTTAGAGTCCGGGGAGTTCTTGCTATGCTGGCCAGGCTGTCCTTTCCGCCTTCCTCCTGGCCTCAAGTGATCCACCTGCCTTGGCTCCCAAAGGCTGGGATTACAGGTGTGAGCCACTGCACCCAGCAAGTAACATTGAATTGTTATTGATAGGACTAGATAAATGGCTAACCACTGAGCTAGGCATTGTTTTTGGTTTGTTTGGGAATCCTTCCTACTATGAAATTGGAATCATCTGAAGACTAAAATCTTTGTTAGACCCTTGTAGGTGTTTTAACTTGGAATGTAGCTGTTAGGGTAAAAATGTAGTTCTTTGGTTTTAAAATTGTAATTGAACTGGGCCCTGATAATAATGCTATAATAGTGTCGGAAAGGTTAGTATGGAAATGTTTAGATTACATGCGAATTCCAGCTTGACTTTCCCTACTCAATCCTTTTGTAGGCAGGCCTGCTTCTACAAAGGTGGTACGAGTCGAAGAACTATGTGTTCAATTGAATTTTTGGTGTTGGAAGACAGTAAGATGTTAATGTGAAACTTTTGAAAAATCCAAACTGTACATCGGTAAGTTAAGCGTTTTATTTTCCAGTGATGTAAATATAGTAATTCACACAACTGGAACTAACTTGGCTTGTGCTTTTCGTTGTAAGAATTGATTTAATTCTTTGTCTCTTTGAAGAGGCTTTATTTTTTCTTATTATTTTAATACAGTGTCT